ATCCACCCAATAGGACGCCCTTCAATGAGATGGATTGGTACAGTGGCTGCCACCATGGGCTCAAACCCAACAATTGTGCGATGGTGCAGGGCCCGGCTGGGCCTCGTTCTGTGTTGCATGGGATTTCTATGCGTGGGACCTGACTCAGGGGCTTCTGACAACAAGGGGGGCAATTGGGCGAATGGCAGCCAGCGGCGTTTGCTGAGAAGGAAGACTGGCGGGAAAATCCGACCTGTCAACACGATGAATGGGGACTCGGGGAACCTCCTGAACCTCGGAATTACCAAACGCTTAGCAAAGCCTCTCCAAATTAGATTTCCAAAAACAAATGCCACCACAAGAGTCAATTAACTGGAATCTCGTTCTAGGAGAGGCTTGTTCTTGGAGCGGCCAGTGATGCCCCATGAACCAGATTCACGGTGGAGTCACGAGCCACTGGCTGGAGGGCCATCCATCACCTGGCAATGGGAGGAGAGCGAGTTCTGCTGCAAACAGGAAGGGCTGTTGCCCGAGGGACACCCCCTCTCCACCCCCACCAACTGTCCATCGCTTGTGATAGACTGGCCGGTCTTCTACCACTAATGGGAGGCTGTGTGTCCTGCTGAGATGGTGACATCCAACAGCTGGGCCACCAAAACCGGTGACGGCCGCCCAGCTGAGGTTGGGACCCTCGTCATGCGCCACAGGGAAGAGCTGGGACTGAGGAGATGTGGGTTCCAAACACAGAATGATTCCTTCAGGAATCATTCTGAGCATCCAGAGCCAGTGGCCGCTATACCAGGGGAAGAGCAAGATACACAGCCTAGAAAGGGCCAGGCTCTCTGCCTCAGTTTCCCGGACAGAGGCAGAAGTGGTAACCCTAAGGGCGAGCCAGACAGGTTGAAGCCTGGCTGCGGGTGGGGACGTGGGGGCCTCCCAGCAGCCTGGCAGACGGAGACAAGGTGTCTCAGGGACCAGGGATGGTAAGGGGCTTGCCCAGGTCGCACTGCTACAAAGTGGTAAAGTGGGGCCTGGACGCCCAGGCGCCACTTGTGACTGACGCTTCTCACTCTGTCTGAAGGTTGCTTGGTCTCGCTCCCTCTGTCTGTGTCTCTGTCTCTCTCTCTCTGCATGTGTCTCTGTCCCTCTTTTCCCGTCTCTCTGTGTCTGTCTCTAGCGACCCCCCAGCCCCCTGTCTGTCCCTCTCTCCCTCTTTTCCTCTCTACCTCTCTCTCCCTGTCTCTCTGTCTCTATCTTTATCTCCCTGTGTGTCTGTCTTTCTGTCTCTGAGCCTCTGTCTGTCTTTGTCTCACCCCTGCCCCAGTCCTGTCCTTCTCTTCCCCATCTCTTCTCTCCGTGACTCAGCTAAAGGCGGAAGCGTCTCCCAAGAGAAGGGTTTCCATCCTAACAGGTAAATGGCGAGGTGCCCCAGGCCTCGCCCAGGGGGGGGCGCGGCGCTGGAGCACCGAGCCTGGGCAGCAAAGAGGCCAGCCCCCGAGTTCCCTGCCTACCACCTGGACTCCTTGAAAACACTGGTGGTTGTATGTGGTTGGTTTTGTTTTAAAAAATGACGATATTATTATTTTTGAAAAAACAGTTTTTGAAAGGTGAATGCACATGCTGAAAAACTTACAAAGAAGAAAGCCGAAGTCTCAGACGTGTAATGTTCTATTTCTTCAACGAGGTTTAAAGGACACACATATTGATTCTCTTGTTACTTTCACATTTATAATTGTTTTGGTTTTTTGTCTGCATCAAATGTCTGGTTTTCACAGGCGAGAGACTCGAACAGATTTACTATCAGACAGAGATTATTGTAAACTTAATGATGGGGGATAGAACCATGGTATAATTTGGTATAATATAATACATATAATGGTATAACATAATACGGTGTAACTCGGTCAGTTGACCTCTGTTTTGACTCAATCTGAATTTATTCTAGGTGTAAATATTTCTCACTTGTTCCTTTTTTTTAATATTGTTGGTGGCCTTTTCTTTCTTAGTCTTTGACTTTGATTTTTATCTTATTAAAATAAGATACCTTATTTTTAAAAAATATTTTTATTCATTTTGTTTTGTTTTTTGTTTTATTGTTAGGTTTCTCAGTTTCTGAAGCACAGAAGGAGCAGATGCATAGGCAATAACTGATGCAGGGGTATTGGGGATGGGGGTGGGAAAGGTGAGGGGAATTGGGGAGCAAACAATGAATATGGGAGGGGCTAGAGCACTAGAACTGATTGTGATAATGTATCTACAACTCTTTTGAAAAGCTACTTAACTATGGAACTGTATATGTGAGTTTTATATCAAGCAAACTACTTTAAAAAAACTGGTTACCCTACCAGGCCTTGAGGATGATGTTCCCAATTACAGCAGCCAATCTACAGAGAGGACCACATGGCCAGCCCTACTATGAGACATGACGCCCCTCACTGACCCATAGTCCTACAGGGGACAACACCAGAGACACAGTATGGGAATTGCACCCGATCTGAT